CCACTGAATGGTTTGGCTCCGAGAATTCCAGTATGCTCGGAGGGAACCGATTCCCCCCAGGGGGTATCGATTCCCCCCACTGTTCAACGGTCGAAATATTTGAATTTTACACTTAGGGAACCGATTTCCCATTAGGGGTACCGATTCCCCCACGCTCCAAGCAGAAATATTAATTGTTTTCACACTTAAACGGCTCCAAAAACTTCATTAATGATCCCCAACGTTCAGAAGTGATTTAAGGTATATTTAAGCAAGCTTAGAAGCCATTGATCAACAACAAGAAACATCAAGCAACTAGAATCAAAGAGAAAGCATCAAACCTCAAGTTTGAGCATTTCAAGCCTATTTTTCATTCAATATTCATTTTGCTTTCAAGAACACTTATTGTGCTCAATTGTATTCATTCATGAGTGTTCTTTTCTTTGTTCTAGAATTGTGCAAACAATCTACCTTGTGAGGATTTCCTTGTAAGTTTGCAAATTTGTATTGTTCTCTTTGGGAGAGAGTGTTCTCAAGAATTTGAGGTATAATTCTTGAGGGTTTGTAAGGTTACTCTTTATCCTCAAAAGAAAGACAAATTAGTGAATTTGTGGAAAATCCTTAGTGTGGATAGCTAAGGTAGTGGACGTAGACTTTGGTTGAGAAAGTCGAACCAGTCTAAATCGCTGTGCAAATTTCCTTCAATTTTCTACAAAAGCTTCCACCAAAATTTTAATTGCCAATTCACCCCCCTCTTGGCCATATTCGTCAATCGATTAACTCAACAGCATTCATACTTGACATGCCCCTTTCTTTGACAATTGAAGCACATCGAAGGACCCTTCTTCTTGGTTGATTCATGCTTCACTTCATTGGAAGACATGAATCTCTTGAACCTATTGAAGAGCTTGGCCATCTATTCTTCTTCATCATCGTCTTCATCGTCTTTATCCACCTCTTCATTTGAATCTTGATAGCTCTCATTGGTGGACTTGAAGGCAACACCTACCTCATTCTTCTTTTCTTCTTTCTTATTATCTTTTTTTCTTCATCATCTTTCTCTTCCTTCACCATCAACTCATGAGTGAGGAGAGAACCAATTAGCTCATCGAGAGTGACTTTAGGTCTCTAGCTTCGATAATCGTCGTCTTCTTCGATTGACAAGACTTTGAAAGAGAGTAGATCATCTTCCTCACAAGCTTCTCATTAGAGATTACTTCTCCAAATCCCTTTAGACCGTTGATAATCACGGAAAATCTATCCGTCATAGCTTTGATGTCTTCATCGGGTTTCATCTTGAAATTCTCATATCTATGGTTGAGAAGACTTATCTTGGTTTCCCTCACTTCATCAGTTCATTCATGAGTGACTTGGAGCTTATCCTATATCTCCTTGGCATTGGAACAACAGGAGACGCTTCCATATTCATCTGGGCCTAATGCACAAAAGAAAATGTGCATAACCTTAGCATTGAGTTGGAACTTATTCTTTTCTCTATCACTCCAATCATCCATCTCGCCGGTTGGAATGGTGTAGCCTTTCATGATAGAGTTTTAAGCTCCTAGATCGTTAGCTTGAATGAAGAGCTCCATCATATTCTTCCAATAGGCATAATTTGCTCTATTGAAATAGGGTGGCTTGTTGACCAGTTGTGAATCTTCAATATAGTAGGCACCGGAGGTTGAATCCATTTTTTGTCGTTTGATTCAGGAATTGGTAGAGCTTCTTCGAGGATCATCTCAAGGTGGTTAAACCTTCTAATAAGTTAAGATCGAAGAGGTTTAAATCAAACAACTGAAAAATGTGCAAAGGGGGTGAAAAGATAAAAATTGTTTATGGAGTAAGGAGAGTAAACGATAAGACAATAAACACAAGGATTTATAGTGATTCGACTTCTCAACTAAGTCTATATTCACTACCTTAGCTCCTCACTAAGGATTTTCTAACAAATCCACTAATTTGTTCTTTCTTTTTCAATGATCAAGAGTAACCTTTACGAATCCCTATCTTTTGAATTGACTAAGATAGAACCTAAACCCTTTACAAAAGGATAAAAGAATAAACAAATAAACCTCTCAAAGGTAGGTATTTACAAAGAATTAAGCTCACTAAAACACTAATATTTACAAGAGAATTAGAATAAAGAATGAAAAGCTCTTATATTGTGTTTGATTGCTTGGATAGGTGTTTGACCCTTCTTCAAATGTCCTCAACTTGTATTTATGTGTTGGAATGTTGTTGTGGTCGTTTCTAGCTGTTGGAGGTGTTTTGGAGCCGTTGAGGATCAAATTTCATGCAAAATAAAACTGCCCAGAATAAGGGGTATCGATACTCCTAAAGGGAATATCGACATGTTACTTTTAAATCAACTAGCGTTACTAGCCTTTGGGGCCTGATGGTATCGAACTATGCCTATGGTATCGATACTACTATACATAGTAGTATCGGTACCCCTTTGGGTATCGGTATCATTTTTGCATTCTAGAATTTGAGCAATGCTGGTAGTATCAGTACTACCTAGTGAGTATCGATACTTCCCTTACCTTTGGTATTGGTACCATATGAACAATATCGGTACTTGTTCAATTGGTATCGATACTGTAAGAACAATATCGATACCACTTGTCCAGAAAAACATTTTGTGCTCAATTCTACTTTTAAGGACTTTGAATTATTTTTGAAATTTTTTTGAATAAATTCAATTCAAGTCCAAAAACATTTTGCCTTAAATTGTTATATCAAAATATAGTTCAACAACATGATATACGTGTGGAGGCGTCCATCTATTTTCAGGTATAGAAATTGTGCTTAACAACCCAGGTGACCAATCAGAGATCATAAACCCCATCTTGAGTGATAACGTGGGAACACAAGTTGGAGAGAAAAAAAGTCCAAGTTTCTTCTGATTCATTTTTAACAACGGTGAAGGAAATGGGGAAAATATTTTCATCTCCATCTTGTGCAACGGCTATCATCAAGATGTATCTGTAGAGCCCATACAAGAAAGTGACATCGACTTGAATCATTTGTTTGCAAAATCTAAACCCTTCGATAGCTGACTTAAACGCCCATAACAAGCCACCAAAAATTCTCTTCTCGGGGATAACAAATCCCTTAAGTGTGACTGCAGGACGAGAATAGTACCTAACAATGGTTCTAGAGATGAAACATTTTATTGCTTGCAGCAGACGTGGTAGCTCATTATATGACTGATCCCAATTACCATACAACAAGGTCATTGCTTTCTGTTTAGTCATCCATGCCTTGTAATAAGTCAGAATATAACCAAATGTATTCCAAATAGATGTCACTAACACAGAAATGGGCACTCTTGGATTTTGTTTCACCAACAGCTTCACATAAGGTCATATGACATCCGAATCTAAATGTCTATGATCTTGTGTCAAGGAGGTTATTGTACATGCGTGATGTGCATTAAACCTTGTGACTTCCCATAACATCTTCCGTTGTAGGTATGATACTCGTATCCTCCATTTACAACCAATACCATGGTGTATACACCATACGAAATAAGTCTTTGGATCCGACTCCACCACATAGAATTGAAAATGAGCTTTTATGTGGTACTCATTGATTGTTAGTTGTGCCTATTTTTTTGTTTCAAACTGACACCCAATGGCCAACTCAGATGACCACTCGTATGAAGAACCCCAGTGGGCAGCACATAACTTTAGCATATCATATATTTCAGGATTCCGTTTAGCATCGTAGTTAATTTCATGCATTACAACTGCATGATGATACCGAGGCAAATCATGGCGAGGCATTTTAGGATAAGGGTATGTTTTTGTCCAAACATTTAGAGCATTCTGCAAGCATTGACATTTTGAAAGAGTTGCCTCCCATAAAGCAAGCTCAACATCCACACCTTGTCCCTCTAAAGCAACCTAAAAACATCGGACTCATAAACTAATGGTGTGTCGTCATCGTCTAGCAATGGAACAATATCTTTATCATCCTCGCTAAATTCAGCAAGGCTTTCATCGAACCGTCCAACAAGGTTATCATCAACATCACTTGCATGTGGTTCAGATGGTCCTACTTTTCTATTCTTCGAGATGGTACTGATGAGGTCGTAATATCAGTTGCAATCGTGGTTTTGACGTAAATCCCACCATATTATTATTTGATGATTGATGAAGTCCAACCATAACAGCGACATTGTCGCCATAATCAAGCTGGACTTTTTCATATGTGATTAAATTTGAGGAGATCATGTGCCAATAACTTAAACATATAACATAAACTCCAAGTTTTCTCTCAATTTTTTTGCTTTATTTGGCGATGAGATACATCTACAGGGAACATCATATTGATGGGTCTGTGTGACTTAAACACAATACCAACATCAATTTGTAGAAGTTCGCCATTATAATGGACAATTGTGAAGAATTTGTTGCTCATTGTTTGAAATATATTTGGTTAGAAGAAAGGAGTTTATTGTGTAAGAGATTGATGATGAAAGAAGTGTTTTGTGTGTGTAAGAGATGAAAGATGTGTGTTATGTATGTTAAATTTTTAGTCGTTGTAACTCATCACATCGACATGATGAGTTCTATTGAATTTTTAAAAATAAAATTATCCGTTTAACAACGGTCAATCTAACAGTCAACACATTTAAAAATTTTTAAAAATATTTTTTATTGGACTCGTCATACCGCATGACGAGTTCCTTAAGATATATTAAATTAATTCAGATTGTGAAACTCACGTGACAAACCTATTAAAAATATATCCTATAAAACTTGTTATACCAGCGTGATGAATTCTATGACATTGTACTATTTACCGTAAATTTCAAAATAAATTTTATATTACCTATTGGGACAAATAATCCACCAACCTGAATTATTTGCCAAATCCGCCTCACTCGGTCTACAATTAATCAAAAGGAACGAATAAATAATTGTTTCTCTGATATTATATTCCGTTTTTTTATTGGGAAGGAAAAATTGTTCCTTCGTTTATCATCTTTTGTTAACTCGTTGTGATTCTGAAGCTTTCTTTCGGAGAATCCTTGTTAACTCACTGCGTTTACTCAGAAAGTAAGACCCTTTTTCTCTCTCCTCTTCATTTTGTCGTTGTTTTCTGTTTCTTTGATTGGATTTTTTCTTCCTTTTGGGTTTGATTGCTAGATAGGTTGAAGCATTGGGTTTTTTTATCGTTGTTATTGTGGTTATGGATCTTGTGTTATGTAAGTTTTAGGGATCTAGGATTGGTTTCCTTTGGGTATTAATTAGATGTGTGTTTTTCAGCTGATCTCCATGGTGATTTTAACTCTTTATGGTTAGATTCTCTTAGATATTTTTAGACGCTTGTTTTATCTGATATTTTTAGGAATGAATTAGCTTTAATTTTGATTAATTTTTCAGTGGTTGTGATCTGCTTAATCCGTGTCCAGAACAAAACTTAAAAGCAAAAGTATGGTTTATGTCATCTTTGCTCTTTCTCTTCGTTGCGTAATGTATCCGGAGAATTATAGTATCATGTTTTCCTATATGATGAGTCTGCAAATTGTCTTTTCTCCATGATTAGAGCTTGAATTTCAAGTTGGAATTGTTTAGTTCAAATATTCGGGATTGCAGTTAGAGTTTCTATTGTGTGTTGCATGATTAAATCTCTGCTTGCGTTTCAAAGTAGAAGATTGAGGTTTGTTTGTTGATCTGCTTGTAAAGTTACAAAGCAAATCTTCTAACAGAACTTGGCATAGTTCCGGAACTCTGGTTTTAAGCTAATATGTTTGATGTTTATGTTAAGTAACTCTAGTTTCTTCTATTGTTCACTATATGCTAGTTGTATTGATTTGGGTTGGCCTCCTTTAAATTTGCAGGCGGTGAGGATGTCAACTCCATCAAGGAAGAGACTGATGAGGGATTTTAAGAGGCTGCAACAAGATCCTCCTGCAGGAATTAGTGGTGCTCCTCAAGATAACAATATTATGTTCTGGAATGCTGTTATATTTGGGTATGTGGAAAAATAAGACTTGAACGACGATTTTTTTGTTGTTTGAATTTTTGCCCTTTTTTATATGAAGATTAAGTAGCATTGTGCTAACGACTTTGCTTAATGGATTTGCAGGCCTGATGACACCCCATGGGATGGAGGTAAAGTAAATTCTGGTGGATATTTCTTTCTGAAGTATCAGATTTCATGTATGTGTTTGGTGTATTTGTTTGCTTGTCTCTTTAGAACATTGCTATGTGCGTATGTTGTTATGATCTTATTGGGCACAAGTCTCCAGTAATTCTACTGCCCCATACTCATTATCTATTTACTATGCATTAATAGGTTAATTGCTTTACCTCTTTCCTTTTTTTGTCTACATTTTCTGTATGGTTTTGTGAATGGTGAGTTTCCCCCCTATAATGAGGTAAGTTTTGGCCTAAAAAGTAGAACAGAGTTTCTGTGAATCTTATGAGCAGGTACTTCATGCAAAATACTGAAGGTTAGATTTATTTGATAGGAGTGGCATCAGTAATGGTCACTTAAGAGTTATTCTTCTTGTTAATAATGAAGCAGGTGATGTTAAACAATCTTGTGATGGACTAGAACCTTGGGGAAATTTTTGAGATCCTATGACCCTGAAATCATTTTAAGAATGCTCTTAAGAAATGGACTTTGCCCTTTCGTCTATGCATTTGAATCTTCAAACCAGGACTGTGATTAATGGTTGTGCTAATTTCTCTTGTAAATTTTAGTTTGAAATACTAGTATTTTAGGATCATTTGAGCTATTTCTTTGGATAATTTATCATAGGATGTAGGTATTTGCTAAGAACTGTGAATAATCTATATCTTGATATTTTGATCCTTCAGGTACGTTTAAACTGACACTTCAGTTCTCGGAAGATTATCCAAACAAGCCACCGACCGTTCGTTTTGTATCTCGAATGTTCCATCCTAACAGTGAGCCTCCAGAAAAAACCTATTCTTTAGCTACATTGACATTTTCATTTTCATGTTTTCTTGCGTACCCTGCAGTTTTAAATTTTTTACCATTATCTGTAACTTGTAAATAATTAGTGTAAGATAAGCTTATCCTTTCTTTCATGACAGTTGTAATGATATATAAGGTGAACTGTAGTGTTTATGTTTGTCACCCATCATGCTGTTATCTTTTATCCAGGCTATACCTTTGAATCAGTAAACCTAATTATTTGAATACTTGTGATATATGAAAGACTAGAACCCTGCTCAAATATCCAATAGGTACCCATTTTTTTTATAGTTGTTTCTGTCGTAGGCACGAGCCATCCGCTTACATATCCAATAGACAATTTCAATGTGATGTGGATTAACATGTTACATGTTCAACTCGGGTTTCGGTTTTCTTAAATTTGTGAGGCTAGTGTAGCTGATCTTGTTGTAATCACTATTTTATCCTTCGATTTTTTCAGTTTATGCAGATGGAAGCATCTGTTTGGACATTCTACAAAATCAGTGGAGTCCAATTTACGATGTAGCTGCAATACTGACATCTATTCAGGTAATGGTACAGTTCTCAGACATTCATTTGCAGCTATCAGAGAAGTATAGTTTAAAGTATAAATATGATTCTAATTCAAGCTTGTCATGATCTACTACTATCTGCCTCATGTTGTTGATATTGAAACACTGGTTGTGCCTTTGAAAAGCTGGCTGTTAATGATATTATTTTGTGTATGCAGTCATTGCTTTGTGACCCAAACCCAAATTCTCCAGCAAATTCCGAAGCTGCCCGGATGTTTAGTGAGAATAAGCGTGAATACAATAGGAGAGTGCGTGAGATTGTGGAGCAGAGCTGGACTGCTGATTGACAGCTCACCCGCTCATGGATCAATAATCCGATGCCCCTTTATGTCTAAATAACATTGACACTGAAAAGATGTGTTGCAAACTATTTAGACTTTATTTATTATGTTGGTTTGTTTTTTAAGGACGGATAACGCTCCCTTTTATTGAAATGATTTGTCGTATCTTCATGTGCTTCGTTTGTTCGATGGGTGGTTTAAACTTTCTTTTTGGTGCAAAAAGCCTTAATGGGGGGATGATGGTGGACCATGTTGCCATGTGGGGAACTTGTCATGATGTTGATTTTGGCAAGGAATCTTGTGTAAATACAGGTGGAAATGCATGCACATTTGTTTGTTTGTTTTTTTGCAACAGCTGTAAAGTTACAGAAGATGATAATTCATGGTTTGCTGAAGTATTACAAATATGTGGCAAGGTTTCCGCTGCTGCTCCATCCTTCCTGAACTTGGATCGAGTATTGCAAATTCCAAAGAACGTCTTCAATAGAAGGGCGCTTGGTTGAATCTTTGGACAGGCAATTGATGGTGAATTGGACAGTGGTTTTCATCGAGCCATATGCGAAAGTGCCCCTTATCAAGGGGTCTATCACACCTCTCAACTTTGCTGGTCCTTCAGCCAAGCTCTTTTCCAGCTGCAACTGGAGCATTTGCAACTGGTAATTCAGTGTGTTTTGTGTTTTTATAAGCGCCACGTGAGAGAAGTAGAACAAATAAACTTCTCATACCTGATGTTTAAGCTCATCCAGTTCACTTGTGAATGTTGCCAGTTTCCCTGTAATAACTTGTAGCAGAAGAATCCCCAGTTGATAAATATCTTCCTTCTCACCATTCTCATCACTGCAGGAAGGGTTTTGAGTTTCAAGTTGTTGCATTGCTTCGGTGGAAATTGAAGTGGACAAGATGGGAGAGAGACATTACCTGCTAAGACGATTGGCAAGGGGGCTTTCTGAACCTGTCTGCAATTACAATAAGGAAACACATGAAAAATTACAACATTATCAAATTCAGGAATAATGTGAATAGTTGCAATGTAAATTTGCTATTGTTTACCATACCTTAAGTGGCAAGGGGATGTTATAATCACTAATTTTGGCAGTAAGAGTCTCATCCAACATAATATTATCAATCTTTAAATCGTTTCCGTAAATGCCAGGTGAAATCCCTGTGTGCAAGAATTCGACTCCTCTTGCAGCTCCGATGGTGATTGCCATTCTCTGTGGCCATTTCAGTATTTCTTTCTTTCTCCAATCTGGCATATCAAATCAAAAGTAAATTGTCTTCTTCAAGGACATAAAACCAATATGCTTTTGTCGTGTCGGCCAAAGTATTTGAGGGGTGAAGCTTTACCAGTAAGATAGTCCTTGAGTGATCTGTTGGAAATGTGCTCAAAAACAATAAACACTGTACTGGCAATGTTGGGATGGTCCTGATAAGTAACAATACAATGTCCCAGAACGCTAACCAAATGCCGATGCCTTAGCTTGGACAAAACTTCCATGTGTTGCATCAGATTTTGAGGTGCATGCTTCTGCTTTAGTTTCAAACATTTTACCACCACCACTGAGCCATCTACAAGCCAACCTTTATAGAGCTGCAAACATCAGAAGTACCCAATAATTCAACTTGAATGTAACCTTTAATGACATTTAGCACAAATATTTTACCTGTCCTTGGGATCCTTCTCCCATAAAATTTGATGGGTCGAAGTTGTAGGTTGCATCTTCAATTTCTTCCAAGCTGAAAACACGATATCGAGGAAGTCCAATTGCAGCCGATCTCATTGTCTGGGGAACACGCCCTGTGGTGTAGCAAATTTGGTGTTGAGTTGATGCTTTTGAAGAAAGGCACAAAATTAGATGGTCTTACTTGAATCAATGGCTGGTTTCGGAGAGCTACGAACCGACATTTTGTCTGCAATGGATCTGTCATCATTTGCATCTTCACATCTTCTTGATCTTCTAACAATGACCAGAATTAACAAAACAATAGCTCCTGCCATGACAACACCTCCAATGATACCGAGTATTAGGCCAAAGTTGATCCCGGGCTCCTGCTTCTTCCGTTCGACTGGTTTAACAGCAAATGCTTGTTTGTTGCAGACAGAATAAGGATGCTGGCGATTCAATTTCTCAGCAGACAGACAATTCCATGAACTAAAGACTGTCCTGTTCTTGGAATTTGATCCTATGCATGATGGGAGTTTTCCTATCAAATGGTTGTCTGAGATATCCACAAAGGTGAGGCTCTTACTACAAGATGTGGTCGAAGGAAGTGCCCCGCTTAATTGGTTTTGTGCCAAATTAAGATACTGAATCGAAGCCATGGAGAATAGAAACGATGGGATTGGCCCGACAAATCTATTGGAATAGATATCCAGCTTCTGAAGCCGATTGAATCTCTTCAATCCTGAAGGGATTTCAGATCTAAAAGAATTGTTGCTTAACGTTATACTTACAAGACTCTGGCTTAATGAAGGAAGTTGAGGTCCAAGGCGATTGCCTTCCAAGCTCAGCTCTTGAAGGAATGTTAAGCTTGTAAGATCCGGAACACTCCCATTGAATAGATTGTCAGCCAAAACCAGACTGGTTAGATTCCGGAGCCAGGCAATCTGCTTTGGGATCTCCCCGGAGACGAAATTCAAGGTCATGTTGAGAGATTGGAGTGAACGAAACCTGTCGATTTTTAGTGGTAAGGGACCCCATAACCCCAAGGACACCAAGGACAATGCTTTCAGATCAGACAACCTGGTGAGGACAGTGAACAATGCATCAATGGAGAATTTGTCCAACAAAGCCGGTCCAGCTGAAGAGCTCTTGTTTCCAACGATAGTTAACTCAGTCACTCGACTGTTTAAACAGACGACGCTGAGAGAAGGAGAAGGAGGAAGATAACACAAGTTGGTCCATCTTGTCCATCCTTGAAGAACTTCAGGGTATTGGAGGAGTCTTTTAACTTGGAAAAGAAGCCTGGTTTCACTTGGAGTAAGGTGAGCTATTGAAACAGGAACAACCATGAAAATTGCAGAAAGCAATAAACAGAAACCAACCCTGGAAGTCTCCATTCGTGACATCTACTTGGTTAAAACTCAAAAAACGAAGATGAACATTGACAAGTGGTGGTAGAAAACATTTATGGGAAAGGGAGAATCACATTAACTTCATATGTTCAGTTGCAGAATGCAGATATCTTTTAAGCACATACAGCTCCAAGAAATGAAGTTTTCATCTAAAAAAGACAAATATCTGATCTGGGTTTCGGCACTACTTATTAAAGGTTACATCTGATCAAGTAGGAGCCACAAAACTATAGGATCAAGCAACTACTTTTAATTTTACTAGACTTGACCTTGTTGTAAAACACTTTTAATGACAGAAGATGAAAAGCTGAAGAAAAGAGAACTGCACCATGCAAATGCAATGCTATTATGGCAACGGGATTCGATAAAGCAATAAATAAACAAATAAAAGAGCACAAAAAGCAATGCTCATTGGAGTCACGAGGAGTTCACGTGTCTAAATGCCCAAAAATACTTTCTTTACATCGTCTCAAAATTGAAAGCAGTGGCCGAGAGGGGAAATGGCGAGATCTTGACCGTTCTTCCTGTGTCGGTGAAAAAGTTGTGAATTTGTCATTAATGATGTATTAGTTTTACGTCATCCCTGTATTATTATGATTCCTTTGTAGTGATTGGGATCCATGCTGTGTTTTGTTCTCACCTTAGACTCTTTTTATGCATCAGAACCATGGCTTTCTCTGCAATAATATTATATGATGAAGCCATAGAGCATGTTGTCATGCAGTCATTATGCATTAAGGGAAGCACAGTTTTACAAAGCAAAAGCATAAACAATTGTAGATCCATAAATATTTTTCAGGATATTTTTCAGGATGAACACATATATATTAATAATAATAAATATTCATATGAGATAATCAAAGATAAAATTTTAGGATAAACACCATTAATAAAATGAACGACTAATGTAAAAAAATTAAATTTCAGAATAAGCACGTGCCCACCCTAACGTACAGTAGATTCATCACTGGGCATAAGGATGCACATGGAATGTCTTAGAAGATGCAAATTTTCTAGAAAGAAGAAAATATGGGTTTACTTTTTTCTTATTAAAAACAAAACTATTCATATTATTTACTGGTAACGATGGTATGGCAGAAGAAGAGGCTAAAGACTTTTTCATAGAATATTAGTAAAAGGATAGAACTAGAGGTTAAGAATAATAATAGTTAATATTAGGGGACAAGGGATGTGATAGGAGGTTTAAGGAAGGGGGTAATGTGGAATGTCAACTTTTATGGATAAAAGAAAAGGTTAATATGATTAGTTGTGTATATTGATATAATTTTTTTTAATTATATTTAGATATAAAATTTATAAGTCTTGATTATTTTAGTAAGAATATTTTGTACAAGTATTGATGATGTGATTATATGATAAAAAATCATGTTTAATATGCGTACACGTATGATATAGAAGTGTATATGAAATTAAAAGCATACTGATTTTGTTAATTCGACTATATGAATGTGATTAAGTTGATTTTCTGTCTATAAGGTACATGTATATATTTAGAGACGATGCAAGATTATATTAGGAGAGATGAACTTATATAATTTTAAGATAGACAAACTTATAAAATTTTAAGGGATGAAAATATACTATAATATATGAGAATTTAAAATTTTCAGGGATGGTTATCTCTCACTCGCTCCTCTTCTATTCATCTTATCTTTGTATATATTGTGTATAATATATTTTAAAAAAAATTAAAAATTTATTATTTTATAGGTTTGATATATTTTTTAATTTTTATATAATACTTCAACCTTTTTAGTAATTCAATTTTTTATTTCTAATATTTATTTTTATAATATTTGTTTATTTTTATATTTAAATTTAAAATAATTTTTATTTTTTAAAATTAAATAAACGTGAATTTAAAAAAAAAAATTGACTCTCGAACTCGATTAAAAAATTAATTTAATCTATTTGCCATATCAGTGCAACCGTAGATCGTCATGTCAACAGCTTAGACTACCATTCAGTATCATAAACTGACACATCAACATCGTAATCATTAGCATTAAATTTTATTAGTTAAAAGGTAAAATTAATTTTTTTCCTCAATTTAAGAGTCACGTTCATTGTAAAAATAATCTAAAATTAATATTCATTTTTATAGAAAAATTGAGAACCTCAAATTTAAAAAAGATAAAATCAATTTATTTAATATAAATTTTTAAAATCGACAATGAAATTGATTTAAATGTGTAGATTGAATCAATCGATTTTTATTCGATTTTATCAGTTTAATCGACTTTTTACTTAGGTATGCCCAACGGTGTATTCGGTTCAGTTCGGTTTTCTACTAAAAATTAAACCGAACCGAAATAAAATATTTTTTAAAATTTAAACCGAAACCGAATGGTTAAAAAACTGAAATATGTGAAACCGAATTTTTCGATTCGGTTCAGTAATTCGGGTTTCAATAAACCGGAAACATTTTTTTAAACCAATCTCAAATGTCCAAATACAAGCCATGTACAAAACCTAAACCCATCAGACCCAATACTTTAACCAATAAACCCAATCAACCGGCCCATTTAGCATTACATCAAATTCATCTAATCCCACAACCGATTTACAATCAAAACCCAGGACATACCCACATGCAGAATTAAATACAGTTAGGGTTTTCCCCTTCCCATCTAGGGCCGTCCAAATGAGAACCATTAAATCTAAAATACTTTTATTTTCAATGAAAAATTCACTTGAAACTATAAATTAAAAAAAATTACTTTGCAGAAAACACATATAATCCACATATATAATCTTAGTAAACACATATATAATCCATACAAAATCTATAATCCACATTGCTATGGATGATCCACATTCCACATCTATAATCCATACAAAACTATAATCCACATATTGTTCGGTTCACACTACAAATTAAACAACCAAAGCAAAGTGTAATTCAACAATCAAAGTTAAATAAAAACTTGCTTGAAACTATAATCATCCATGCATGAGAGAACAACCAGCAGCCTCAAGCTTTTCTTCTGCAGATGCTGAAAACTTTTCAGCCTTCAAGTTTAGCTTAACAGTCAGCTCTCCATCACCCAGATCAGAATCTAAACCAACACATTAACGAATCAAAAACAGTCCATATTTTATGTTAAAAGCAACATTATTTCACATTTTGATTAACAGCATAGAGTGGAATCTCAAATGCCTATGATAAATGCAAGGATGGAATAAAATTATAAATTAGCTAAAAGGGTGCATGCTCGACGTTTTCAAATAAAAGGGGAAAAACTGAAACCGAAATCAAGTGAAATGAAGTTAACTTGTTCTAACTTCTAATTTGAACGACCTAGCTGAATCTGAGATGTAATTTCCATTTCCAACACAAATTTTTCATTAACTACCATTCTAGTGGCGATCTATATGAATCCTATCAAAAGCAAAAGAGGTTAGACTGAAGATACAAATTAAAAACCAGATTGTGTATATTAAACCTCTTTCTAGGATACAGTTCCTAAATCTTAACCAACAATTATTCTAGGTAGCATTAAAGAACATGATCAGCATAAAGTACAATTACAGATGCCTTAGATGAAAGCCAAAAATGGAATAAAACTACAAATTAGCTAAATCAGTCCACGCTCAACGTTTTCAAATAAAATAATGAAACGGACAACGAAATCAACAAGCGAAAAATATAGTTAACTTATTCTAATGAAAAAACCTAGCTGAATCAGACAAGTTATTTCCATTTCCAACACAAAAATTTCATTAATTTTCCCTCCAGGAAGGATCTTATTTGAATCCTATTATTCTCAAGCAAATTCAAACAAGATCAAGCAAAACAAAGAAAGAAACACAGGGAGAAACCGGAAGTCTACCTTCTGGAAGTCTTCGGGGGCGACACCGGGAAGGTAGAAGCAGTGAGAACCGTGGACCAGAAAGAGGAAGAGAAGCGGCCATACGATCGAGATGGTCAGATTGTTCATAGAATCAATAACGGCTGAGGGCTGAGTGACGGGCTGGAGAACAGTGGAGAAAATATCGCTTATGGATAAGGCCGTAAAGATAAGTGCCTAAGTGGGTAACCGGGTGGAGACTGAACCAATTTTTTTATCCGGTTCAATATGGAACAAATGGGTTCATATGGAAAATCCGAACCGAACCGAATTAGAAGATTTGAATATTCAAACCAACCCGAAAACCGAACCGAACCGTTTCACTCGGTTCGTGTCGGTTTTTGGGTTTTCTCGGTTTCGTTGCTCAGCCCTAGGTATGGGTATAGTACTCAAAATCCTAATGTAGTGAAAATAGTTAATCAATCATGGAAACATTATTTTGTTTATGCAGGAAGAATCAAAAGTTAATCTAAGCAATACTAGCTTCAAGAACATTCGTGGCACATCTGCACTTCCAGAAGCTGTAAGTATTATTTGTAGTGGTGGTTTGCCATGCGAAAATGTGGAACTTTCCAACATTGACATTACGTATGATGTATAATGGACCGAAAGGACCTGCAATATCCCAATGTAAAAATGTTAAACCCAAAATCACCATGACACAAAATCCGCCGGCATGTTCTACTCCCGTACCAAAAGAACTCTAACCCCACCATTTAAACAATCACATGAGTATAAAAATTCAATGCCTCATGTACTAATTCATTTATATAAACATTTTATTTTATTTTATTTTAATTCAATAATATTCAGAAACTATAACATTTCATTGGTTAGCTGACCCGATTTTATTAATAATAAAAAACTTGAAATGACTTGCAAATTTAAAATATAATAGTAAGAAGTATCCTCAAGGAACATAAAAGACTCAAAGTGAAACTTCCTTGAAAACAAGAAGATATAATTAGGTACAATCAAAGCCTATTCACAAACCAACTAGAAAGAACCAACTATGTAAAAATAAAACAAACACAGAAGGGACCAAAACACCATCAAAGAACTCACAGGAAAAAAAAATCAACAAATGACACAAAGAAGTATATTGATTAACTATGACAATGGCCAAGGAGTCATCAAACCAAATGCCTCCATGAAAACATGTAGAATCCTTACAGAAGAAACACAATAGAAAATTGTTTACATCAAAATGGAAACATGCCTTTTGAAATGAACATTTAAACATGCCTTTTGAAATGAAACAACCGAAATGTTTACATCAAATGGAAACATAAAAAAATCTCCACTCCACCGTTATCCTAAAGTAAAACACTGTTGGAAAAAATAATATTTAGAGGAATAAAGTTTTACTTTATTCATTGTCAACTTTTAAAGATATGCATGCATCTAAAATAGTCAATTTCAAAGATTAATAGGAATAGCATTTACAGTGACATTTGCAAGGGATTCTGTGTTAGCTGACCCAACATTAACAATATGGACTATAGGTGACATGCTGGTATAAACCTAAAACAAGGAATAGAAATTTGATTAAGATATATGCAACAAACATGAAATTCAAGGCCATTGAGAAACAAGCATTTAGCTCATTGAATGCCAACAATTAAAGTGCAATAAAATAAACAATGAGATAAAAAAATAAAAATCCACTTGTACAAAAATATTTCCTTCATTTGTAGTTTAAAGAAGTTAGTCTAAGTTGATTTCCTTAAGCCCATATCTTGTAAATCATTAGAGAATGGTTTACTCGACTAACAATTGTTACTTTTCAAGTTAAGTCTTTTTCCATCTTAATTCCTTGAATTTTAAGTCTTCCCCATTATCTGCACTTTGTAGGTCAACTTAGGTGAGTAAAGGAAAAAAGAGTCGTATGGTCATCACACACTACCAACCTAGTTACAAGTGCATAAAACCATTACATGAAAACTTAAAACATTAAAGCAACAGAAGACCAGACAAAGCAAGCATGCATCAAATCATGTACATACAAGTTGAAAAATGGCATTTGTGCTCACAACCTTTTTAAATCAATCATGATTGCACACCAACTTCAACACCTAATAACATTAATAAAAGAATCAAACACAAGAATCACCTTAAAATTTGTTCAGTATTCTGCACATTTCATACTATAGGTTGTTTCCTATAGCACCTTCTGCATGGATCCAGTCCAGAAGACCTATAGCACTTATGGACACATACTGTTAGATGCCCCTGAATGCTGAACAACAAAAGATGAAAAATGATAAGAGAGAGAAGATATATTGAGATTGCACTCGGGGACCAGACATCTAAACTGAAAGATTGAATAAAATCCCCAAAAGGATAGAAACATTCAAATCAGAAGTGGAAGACACAAGATATTAAGCATCTATGTATATGCCGTTCAGGATGTATATGATCATATGTGGTCAGAGTTGAACAACATAATTGTTTGCATGTGGAGATCCAAGTATTTATTTATCTAATAGTAAATATAATATACGAAGAAGGAAATATTAACCCAGCATATAATCCCTTTAGTCCTTGCCCTTTCCATATTGAACATCCAGCTTGGAACATTCCAGTGTAATAACCATACATTTGTTCACCAGATTTCATTCACAATTGGTCTTTCATGATAGCAGAATTCCAAGAGTTTCCTGAGCCTTGAAGCTGCTTGCGCTGCTTAATCACTTCACATGGAACATATACAAAAGAACCAAGTGTATCACCTGAAAATCAGAGAAATACAAGATAGAAATCAGAGATCATTTGTGCGTTTCAATTGCTGATTATTATAAAACATAAAAGCGTTATTCCCTCCAATGCTTTATCTATACAAATCTAAAGCAACAATAATTGAAACAACCAATATTTACGTCTCCAGTGGATGAGAAACAAGCATCATCAACCGATTGAAAACACTATGTGGACATCAAATTTTACCAAACTGGAAAATTAAAAAATATGGGGAGAAAAGAAAATAAAAAACATCATATACCATTTACATCAGGGGGAGAAAAGATATTCGTATGGCACATTAAGAGAGAAAATATTAATCACTGAAACAAAAACATAGCAGAGTGCACTTCACTGTTAAAGTTGGACCAAAATAAGAAAGGGGCCCAAAAGTTAGCAATAAGTAAATGTTAATTGCCCCATAGTTGTAACTAGTTTGAAAGAAAATTCAGTGGAGCAATTTCACAAAAAGATAGAAGTTCCAGAAGAGCACCAACAGCTCCAGCTATGAAATGTGCCCAGTAGCATATGGAGGTGTTTCTGATGCTACAGCTTTTGTGCAGGCAGAAAACGACCCATCATGAAATTAACACATAGTAAAACAACAGCTAAATAACACACATTGGAGTGGCAGTCGCATCTTATTATCAGCAAATCCAGTATCAACAACTTCTTATATTTCAAACAAAATAATCACAGGAAATCAAGGAATTGAAAAATGATCATTAGATTTAATAGGAAATCTAAATTCAAATGGATAATCTTTAAACATACCTTTTCACAAATTCATTCCTTGTTGTAAATGCAATAATTTCATTTACCTCTTCAATGCTCATCACCTCACCAAGCTTAAATTTTAGTAAATTTGAATAATCAAGAAATGCAGCAGACTTGTCCATCCCAGGAATAAGCGACAAGTGCTCAACCTTTTCTCTCAGACATTCCATCAAAACGAAGCCTGAAAGTTATTAAATTGAAATCATAATTTAAGAATCAAGTTCAACTATACCAATTTTATGAAATAATATGCAAAATCTGGAGCTTGATGGAATTGATTCACAACGCAAAACACAGAATTCATGTCCTAAGAGCCTAATAGAGAACAGATTCATGACAGAAAATACAGTAAGTTCTAATATCAGTCTCAGACCTCCTATGTTCTCACCAAACGTTGGTTCAAACCACAAATCACTTTCAGCAAAGAGTACTTCTATATACTATATTACTGAATTCCAACCCAAAACCAATACAACTATGCATACAAAATTTACAATAGTTCGGCAGCTTTTCCATTTTAAATGAAAAATAAAACTTAAAAATATATTAAAAACAGCAAAACAACAACTAGAACAAAATTCACAAATGAACCCTAAAAGTCATACTGAAGCGTACGAGGGAAGTGAAATTCAAATCTGAAAACACTAAAGCGTACGAGAGAGTGAGAGAAATGAAAACGTTAGGGGAAATAAATAAAAAAGGAGGAGAAGCCTGACCTGCAATAAAAAAGAAAGAGAATAGCAGACATTGAAATGACGGAGCTTGGAATTGCTGAAAATTCAGTGATTGTTTCTTCGATTGATTTTTGCTCAGATGACGATTTCAACAAGTTCACTATGTTACACTGTTCTTCGAAATTCAACATCTTATTCCCCATTCTTTTTTTTCCCTGAAATTTTCTAGCGATATTTAGCAAAAAGAGTAAAGAATCTTTTCTTGAGTGAGTTCCTATGGATGAGAATCCAATGGGTTCAGATATGCTGCTATTTATAATTTTTATATTTAATTATGTATGAATAAAAACCCTTCAAATAAGAACCGAAGACTAATAAGATTATGATGTCTTTATGTGAACAAATGCTTACAATATTTAGCGGCGTTGATGCATCAATTTCGTTATTTTTCTACTTATTTATTGTTATTAAATGTTGATATTAAACACTAATACAACCTTGTGTGACCCGCCCTGGATATGATCTACATTATTCATTGTCCGATAAAATTAAATTAACCCCTAATCTCCTTTTTGATTCGATTAATTTATTTTCTGTTATTTATATTTATGCCCTTTAAATTTCTATTATTTTAATTTGTTCCTTTACTTTTCAGCATTTACATTTTAGTTTTTTAAAATCCAGCTTTGATTTCCTACAATTTCTTAATTTAAGCCTTATGTTATGATTTCTTTCATTTTAGTCATTTACTTAATGTTTTAATTTTAGTTCTATATTTTTAAATTGTTTAAATATTGGTCCATGTTAATGTGTTAATTGTTTTTTTTATTTAATTGCTGTCTTTAATTTCAATTTCTTTAAATTAGTCCTAGAGTTTTAGATTTTAAATTAAACATTTTGATTTAGTTTTTTAATATTTTAGTCTTAATCTATATTACTTATATTTTAATTTAGTCATTGAATTAGGTGAATTCTTAATTTGTTCTTCGCTTTTGCTCAAAGTCCTGAATTAATTATTCGAATTGCATAATCGATTAAAATTAATTAGATTAATAATTAGAGCCTTAGTTAGATCTAGTCCCTTGACTTTAAATTTTTTTCACCATTTAGCCCTTAGACTTTTAATTAGGTTTTCTTTTAACATAATTAATTAGGTTTTTAATTACAACCTTCACATTAGTTTAATTTCACTTTAGTTCACTAATTTAGGGAGTAATCAAAGTTGGCCCTCGCCTACATGCTCAAGGGACTATTTTGATTATTTGATTTAATAATAAGTTAAAATCAAATTGGATTAATATTAGAACATACATTTTTAGGTTTAGGCCTCTAGATTTTTAATGACATTATTTTGACAACTTTTAGGCTTGAAATCCTTTGACAAACTCACCTAGTTAAATTAGGGTTAGTTGATTAACTTATTGATTGCATATATTTTCAAACACAAGACAATGTTCACTTATGAGTGTGTCAATAGTATATCTCCCACAAGTATGCTCAGGGGTGACTACTGGTGATTCCCGAAATAGGTCGACATCCTTTTCAAAACCGCATCATGATTTTCTAAAATATCGAGGCAATGTCCGGTTATTGGGCACAATAGCTTATCTTCCGCATTCGATGCATTCATGCTAGGGTTCGAATGCTATTAGCTTTAATAAACGAATATCCTTTTCAACTTTGTATCCGTAATGATTTTTAAATTAAATGAAGTTCGAACTCAAAAGTTTCAATTTTAAATATAGGGCAATCAACAACTACATCAAAATGGGTTTTTAGCGGCTTTTTTATCGACGTTTTTTGAACAAACTCCAGTAAATACTCGTACTTTAGTAGCTTTTTTATATAAACGCCGCTAAATATTGAACTTTAGTGGTGTTTTTGTACAAACGCCACTCAATTCTAGTATTTAGCGGCGTTTATATAAAAATGACACTAAAGTACGAGTCTTTAGTGGCGTTTGTACAAAAACACCACTAAAATCTCATACTTTAGTGGCATTTTTATATAAACTCCACTAAATACTATTATTTACTGGAGTTTGTGCTTAAAACGCCACTCAATAATAGTATTTAGTGGCGTTTATATAAAAATGCCACTAAAGTATGAGATTTTAGTGGTGTTTTTGTACAAACGCCACTAAAGACTCGTACTTTAGTGTCATTTTTATATAAACGCCGCTAAATACTAGAATTGAGTGGCGTTTGTACAAAAACACCACTAAAGTTCAATATTTAGCGGCGTTTATATAAAAAAGCTACTAAAGTACGAGTATTTACTGGAGTTTGTTCAAAAAACGTCGATAAAAAAGCCGCTAAAAACCCATTTTGATGTAGTTGTTGATTGCCCTATATTTAAAATTGAAACTTTTGAGTTCGAACTTCATTTATTTTAAAAATCATTAAGGATGCAAAGTTGAAAAGGATATTCGTTTATTAAAGCTAATAGCATTCGAACCCTAGCATGAATGCATCGAATGCGGAAGATAAGCTATTGTGCCCAATAACCGGACATTGCCTCGATATTTTAGAAAATCATGATGCGGTTTTGAAAAGGATGTCGTCCTATTTCGGGAATCACCAGTAGTCACCCCTGAGCATACTTGCGGGAGATATACTATTGACACACTCATAAGTGAACATTGTCTTGTGTTTGAAAATATATGCAATCAATAAGTTAATCAACTAACCCTAATTTAACTAGGTGAGTTTGTCAAAGGATTTCAAGCCTAAAAGTTGTCAAATAATGTCATTAAAAATCTAGAGGCCTAAACCTAAAAATGTAGGTTCTAATATTAATCCTATTTGATTTTAACTTATTATTAAATCAAATAATCAAAATAGTCCCTTGAGCATGTAGGCGAGGGCCAACTTTGATTACTCCCTAAATTAGTGAACTAAAGTGAAATTAAACTAATGTGAAGGTTGTAATTAAAAAACCTAATTAAAAGTCTAAGGGCTAAATGGTGAAAAAAATTTAAAGTCAAGGGACTAGATCTAACTAAGGCTCTAATTATTAATCTAATTAATTTTAATCGATTATGCAATTCGAATAATTAATTCAGGACTTCAAGCAAAAGCGAAGAACAAATTAAGAATTCACCTAATTCAATGACTAAATTAAAAATATAAGTAATATAGATTAAGACTAAAATATTAAAAAACTAAATCAAAATGTTTAATTTAAAATCTAAAACTCTAGGACTATTTTAACGAAATTGAAATTAAAGACATCAATTAAATAAAAAAAACAATTAACACATAAACATGGACCAATATTTAAACAATTTAAAAATATAGAACTAAAATTAAAACATTAAGTAAATGACTAAAATGAAAGAAATCATAACATAAGGCTTAAATTAAGAAATTGTAGGAAATCAAAGCTGGATTTTAAAAAACTAAAATGTAAATGCTGAAAAGTAAAGGAACAAATTAAAATAATAGAAATTTAAAGGGCAGAAATATAAATAACAGAAAATAAATTAATCGAATCAAAAAGGAGGTTAGGGGTTAATTTAATTTTACCGGACAATGAATAATGTAGATCATACCCCAAGGCGGGTCACCACAAGGTTGTATTAGTGTTTAATATCAACATTTAATAACAATAAATAAGTAGAAAAATAACGAAATTGATGCATCATATTCGAAACAAAGAAATAACAAAAAGCAATGACCAAAACAAAACAAATAATAAAACATTACCTAAATTAAAGCATTCAAAGTAGCAGAAATGATGGCCAAATTAAATTTAAAAATGAAAGCATGCCAAATTTAAAATAAAACAAAATGTAAATATAACTAGAATGTAAACAAATAAATCAACATATCAAAATTAAAATAAAATAGAGTGCAAAAAATGACCAAAATATAAACAAAATAAAATCAATGCACCAAATTCGAAATAAGACCAAAATAGTCCAAAATCCGTGACTAAAATGCAAATATGAGCTTAAACTAGGGGGATGAACGCAAATAATATGAGTAAAAAAAGGGAAATAATATATTTGGTCCTTGCAGGTAACCAAAGTGCAAAAACAAAATCAAACCCCAAACAACTCTATTCACTCTGATCTACTCACCTAGCCCCTAAACAAAACCTAAAAATGTCCCTTAAACCTTCATGCAAGACCCAACTCTCAAGATTTCTTTGACTCTTCGACTTCTCTCACAAGTAACCTCTTCGACGAACCGAGTTCCCCAAGGAAAGCTCTCTCCTCCTATAGGTAAATCCTTTTACCCCATTTCATTCTATTATTTTTTATTTTTTATTTTTCGAATCGTATGAAGAAAAAAATTGAATAATGAAAAGAAAACAAAAGAAAAAACACCTTGAGATTTTTTTTTGCTTGGTACTTCTTTTCGAAAATTAGGGGACCCCTCTTACACGCTGGTTTTTGGGTTTTTATACTCAAGTTCTTACATAGATATAATAAAAAAATAAAACATAATATATTGCCTTCTGACCATCACTGTTTGTGATGATTTGCGCCTTTTAATGTCTCGGATTTTTTGGGGTTTGGGTTGGATTTGATCTGATTTTATCATTTTCATTGTGTTGTTGAGGTGATGACGGTGAAATAGTGAAGGTGACATGCTTTGGATTGGAAAAAAAGTGACGGTGACCGAGGAAAATGAACGGTCGGTGCGTGTGGCTCACGCGTTGATGACGCGTCGGTGAGACTCCGGTGCCGGTGGTGACACACCAGTGAGGGGAGCCAAAAAGCCACCTTTGGATGATGTGATCTTAACCATTGGATCAAATCTAGATCCAATAGTTTATATTCATTTGTGCTTCTTCACTTGGATGGGTTACGTGGCAAGCTCCTAGCCTTGGATCTAACCCTCCATCAATGGCTCACATGGATTGTGTTTGTTTGACAAGGATCGAAGAGATGAATCCCTTGGATGAAAGCTAATCAAGGGATGAGATCATTTTTTGTTTCTTTACATAGATTGGTGATGCCATCATTAATTACACCTCAAAAATAGAACCACCATTAAATGTTTGTCTCCATTTAAAATTCAAAAAATATCATCCCACCAAGAACAAAAAAACGAAACAACGGCTACCCCAAAGAAAATTGTACACTAGGGTCTAAACATTGGTTCCTGTTTTATAATAATAATAATAATAATAATAATAATAATAATAATTTATACTAATATAATAATAATAATTAACGGTTGAAAAATGGTGATTGCACGTTACTGATAGATTCGTTAATGAGGAACCTCATTAAAAAATTCTACGTGACCAACTTGAACCTACTAGTGGTTATACCATGGTATTAAGTTTAGGGTTTATATATCTAGTAAATAGCATATATTGCAATGCAAATAGTATCATTCCAAATGCATGCATTAAAATATTCAATCATCTTATCATAACATGTTTTTTCGTTGCTTTGCTTTAGCCTAATAATAACCCAAGTATTGCTTAATCGATGGGCTCTATATAGCTTGATCATTACATCAATATACCCTCATATGCTATATTTTTGGATTTGTTGCCTTTGATAAATTAATTCTTAGTTCGAAATCTGATATAAAAGTAATATGATTCGAATTTCAGATGTTATGTGAAGAGCGAATTGATAATCACGTTGAACGTGAAAAAACAAAGGAAGAATATTTTAAGCTTTGATATAATTGGGGTATTGGTCATTTCAAAAGTTGTGAGTAGGAGGAAAAGTCTCAATTTTACTACCTATTTTCCCAATTGCAAGGGTCCATTATCGATCATTTTAAGTTTCAATTTTTTGAAGGCCATAGCACAAAAGAAAATTGAACAGAGACAAAAAAAAATGCTTTAGAAACCCTGTATTAGTCAATTAATCGAAACCCTAATTGACCATACGTCTAACCCCAATTAAAGTTTGTTTAATCGGAAATTAAAAAAGTAAGATATAATAGATTTTTTGATAAATTCTAAATCTAACCTTAATTTTACTTGGGGGGAAAGGAATGGGGACTCTATGAGAAGGAAGGAAAGTGCTCCTAGTCCAGAACCCATGACCTAAGAGAATATGAGGAAACATAGATGAGTAGTTTGACCAATCGGCCAAATGTAGGGATGACAATTGGACCCGAATCTAACGGATTCTGACATGATCCAACCCGATAGGA